GGGGTAGCATTTCTGTTTTAGACTTGTTAATTCTTGAATGAACTAAGTGTGTTCATTTCTGTGATAAATCTTTTGATGCATTTTGTAATGTTGAACTAGGTTCCTCTGCGAGAGTAAAATTGTTTGGTGCAAGTGATATACCAAATGTGTATTTTTTAATTAAAGAATTGGTCAGATTTTATGTTTTATAAATATAAAGGAAAATCAAATGATTCAGCAGCTTCCGGAAACAATTTGTTACAATTCTGTTATTGCTTTACTGTTTGTTGTGGGTTATGCGTGAGAAATTATTCTCTTTTAGGAGACCCTCTGTCCTCAAATTCAGAGTCTGTTAAAATCACATCAGAAATAATTACATGAATCTTGATATAGATTTTTACATGTTGATTTTACTATATTTTTATCGACTTACTATGTAGAAATTAAAAGATTGTCATGAAGTTTGTGTATAAGACTATGAATGTGGATGTAGATTTTGAAACTCATCATCCTGTTGTAGTTGTGGGGTGTGGGGAATTAGATTGCTAAGAAATAAAATTACAATAAATAATACTACTATGTATCTTATTTTTAAGTTTCTGGAGAGAGCTTTTGGAAAAAGAAAAATAATCTTTACCAGATACGTGCAATTAGTTATTGAGTAATGATTCTCCCATCATTTTAATTACAAAATTTTACATCTGGATTTACACTTTTTAGTCCGTTGATTTGTTAAACATTTAATTGTGATTATTTTAGTGTAAATGATTGCAAGAGAGTAGCATTAATCTGACACTCTTACCTATTATATCGTAGTAGGAATTACCAAATGAAGGTTCTTCCACATGTGCATTAGGAAGCTCTATATCCATCTGAGTCAAAACTTTGGTAAACTGTGGCACTTCCTTCTTGTGACAGAAAATTTGCCAGATAATTATTTTGACAATATTGTGTCCTTGTAGCATCATGCTGCATTCTTTTTGCCTACTACGGATCAAGTCCTTTGTTTTTTGTCCACAGGCACGACTAATATTTACGGGCTCTGCAAAATCCGACTCATAAAACCCGACCCGGATATGTTGCACATCAGTGTGCTTGAAACAAAGTGAAGGGGTGAAATCGGGTCAAGATCCACTCACTTTTTCATCAGTTAAAAAAATTTCAATTTGCCTCGATTAGGTTAAGTAGATCGGCTCATCAAAAAACTTAAAATAAAAATATATAGAAAAAAAACCAATAACGTTTTGCTTTTTTATATAAAAAACAGTTTTTTCTTTTTTCATCAAATCATTCAAATGCAAATACAAACACTACCTGTATAATATTTAAGTATCACATCTCAATGACAAATTCAATGATGTTGGAGTGGTATAAATTTCAAGACTCACAGTTTCGTATATGAAAAAAAATATAATTAGAATAAGAGATGTGGTATAAATTTTAAATTTTAGTTTTGTATATGAAAAAAAAACATAATTAGAATAAGAAATTTTGTTAAATATGATCAGTGAAGTTTTCTAATAAAGATTAATTATCAATAAAATTAATAGATATTTTATATCGATAATAAAATTAAAAAAATGATAAAATCAAAGCACAAAAACATAATTTAAATAAAATATGTATATGACATCATTAAGTAACTCACAATAGATTGAGTGTTTATTTTTTTAAAAAAAATTAATAAAATAATCAGTTTAATTTTTTTACTTTTTTAATGTATTTGTTTTAATTTTTTTTTAAAGAATCAGTTTTTTAAGAATACTTTTATGAAACTTTTTTTTTTTAAGTTTAAACAAATTCATTATCGTCCAAGTAACAGACAAGTGGTATAATGACATCATTCAAATAATAAATACAAAATAAAATATAATTCAAATAATAAATACATAAAAAAAATAACGATTTGAACTATTGAAATGTAATTTTTTGCTTCTAACTCAATTCGACTTGAAGTCATGGTGAATGGAGCCGTCCCAACTAGTTATAACTTGTTTTTGACATCTCTAAAACAAATAAAAAGGCATACAAGTAAAATAGTAAATGTTCAAAGTAATCAATGTGTGTTTGATCGCATATACATTATTTTTGAACTTTTTTTTACAAAAAAAAATATTGATAAGGACAACATTTTCATGAATATTATATATCAAGCACTATTATTTAATTAATAATTAATCAAAACTCAACAATATCTTATTTGATTTTAAAATTTGATTTAATAATTTTTTTAAATAAATATATTCATCAAAGTAAGATTTTATAGTCATAGGTGATGTAATACTCGTGTCATGAAATCTGCAAGCTCATATGAATTCTATATCATTTATGTCAACTTACAACTATGTATATTATTCATGAATCTAGATAAAAAAATATATATATCAGTATGTTCAAATTGATTTTTCATATTTCAAATATAATCTTTAAAAATTAATAGTTATAATTTGTATTTAAGCATGATTTTTTAATTTTTAGCTAGTCCAAAACACGTAATATAAAGAATAATAATTTCTACATCTTTTACTATTTTAGATATGATAATTGAAAGAAAGTTTGAAATGAATAAACAAACAACCATTAAGACATTTTTAATCAAATTAATTACTAAAACGAAGACT